AAAAGAATTTCAAAAGTATAAAAATCTTATGAGGGGCTGGGAAGGTAGCTCAGTGGTAGAGCGCTTGCCTTGCATGCATGAGGCCCTGGGTTCGATTCCCAAGCACCACATAAGCAAAAAGAAAAAAAGCTGGAAGTGGCGCTGTGGCTCAGGTGGTAGAGCACTAGCCTTGAGCTGAAGAGCTGAGGGACAGCACCCAGGCCCAGAGTTAAGGCCCCACGACTGGACCCTACCCCCCGAAAAAAAATCTTATGAGTTTTAAGACACATAATTTTTAAATAATCAATTCAGCCATAGTAAGTCTACTTCTAACATAATTGCATACCTGTAACTTCATAAGAAACACTTGGTCATCTTCTGCCATAATTTCCTTCTCATGTACAAACTGAAATGAACAATGCATAAACGAGTACATTTAATATATTTTACAAACACCATTAATAACTTCTCTCTTTGGATTAGACTTATTAAAAACCAGCTCAAAAGGAAGAACCTCACCCACACTTGTATTATAGATACCTGAATGTGCTATCTAATAATTACCTGAAATGACATAAATGGCCTACTTCCATGTAGCTTACCAAACCAGTCAACAGACACCAGTGGATAATGAGCACTTGAAATGTGGCCAATATTACTGAGGTAAAGAGTTTTTAATTTTATTAAATTTTACAGTTAGAAAGCATATGGGATTAGCCATTACTGTAGTTAGCAGCTCAACCCTAAAGCTACAGGCATAGTAATTACAACTGTATAATTTGCTAAACAACATTTGGTTATTTTATTTTACTGGTATTAATGTTTTCTTTTTTGGTGGTACTAGGATTTGAACCCAGGGCCTCAGGCTTGCTAGGCAGGCACTCTACTGCTGAACCCTGCCTCAATTAAGTATTTTATAAGGGCCTCACCACAGTTGGGTATTTTATAATGGCCAGGAATATTTGAGTGAATACAACTTTCCTGAAATAAAAATATAATGGCTTTTTCATCAGCTTAGGAATTACAAAAAGCTCTGCAAAGTTTCCTGCTTCTAGTCTTCCTGTCCAACACCCTCAATTGTCTTCCCAAGATCTGACTTCCCTGCTCCAACTCACTTTCCATTTCACTCTGAATTATGCAAAATCCTTACTGTAGGCTAAAGATAAAGCCCTTCAAGATCTTAAAACAGTCTCCTATCATGGCCACTCTCCTCACAGCTCTTTTCTGCTCTGTGTTCTCCACATATTCCTGCACCACGACATGTGCACTTTCATATCTCTCTGCTTTTAACATTCTTCTTTTTTCCTTTTTGTGGTGCTGGGGTTTGAACTCATGGTGCATCACCAGCCTTAACATTTTTCTTATCCACCCCGATCCTAAACAGTGCCTGAGACCTCTTGTTTGTTTTTTTTAAAGTGTGCTTTTCTTTTAATAGGTATTCAAATCAAATAACATGCCAGCTGAATTTTTACTGGAGCTCACTAATAACCCACAATAGACAACAGATGCCCTACATGGTGTCTGAATTTTTAAGTTTTTAATATGTGTTGGGTTAAAATTACTTTTCCTGAAATATTTCTAAACAAAAAGTCAGTGGGATGTTACATATAAATATCTTTATACAACTTTTCAGAAACATCTATAGCTACAGAGCACTATACTAACACAAAATCAAGACATATATGCAAGAAGACTACCTTCTGGAACCTGATTTAATAGCCACAAAATAACATGTAAGTCAAGACTAAACATGAAAAAAAGTGGGAGCTCTTGAATAGTTGTAGGATGATGTGGGTAACTAATAAATGGAAATGATCCACAATCTGCCTCAAAGTGTAGCTTGAACTAAGAAATTATCCTAGAAATGATTTCTTGGTTCTTGGCTGAATTGTAAACTGGAAGTTCACAGCTTCTAACTTGTTACACTGTTTAAGATCCACATACTCATTTACGCCAACCTGGGAAAGTACTATATTAGAATATTGACTTAGCAATAATATTTCTAATGTAAATATGCCAAACACTAAGGTTTGCTGATCTGAAGTCTGCTGAAACAAATCCTTACTGTACATTAGAAACACCAAAATTAGAAACTCCTATAAAACTTAGTGTTTTGGACTATCCATCAGTTTGAGATTATTTACTAAAATTGTTACCTTTCGGACAGGTGGTTTAGTTATGATGTCTTCAAAATTATCTTCTACTTTCAGTGTTTGAAAATTCTCATGTAATATTCCTATTTTCTTATCATTATCCCACCCTGCTGGACTGAAAAGAAATACACAGGATAAAATCTCAAGCATTTATGTCATCATTTTATATTAATCCATGACCATGTAAAGGAAACAATTTAATGAAGTCAATCTGACCAATTGTGGAAAATGAATTAACTCTTTATTATGATATTCAATTTCTACTTAAAATGATTATTAATATTTCCCATCTTTAAATGTCATTAGAGGTTTGGGTTTTTTGTTTATTTTCCTGAGAGGAGGGCAGTAACCATTCAATACCTCTCCATTTAAGTAATTTTCTTTTAGCAATGCAAGGGGCATTAAACTCAGGACTTCATGCAGGCTAGACAGGAGTTCAGTAGTAAATAGGCTATGTCCCCAGCCCCTAAGAAGATATTTAGAACATGTCCAAAGTACATATTTGGTCATTATATGTCATAATTAAAGTATAAGTTAGATGTATTAGTACAGACACTCAATAGAAAATTCAGCCTAAATAGCAAAAAAATCTTTGGAAAAGACAAGCAATAAAACTAAAAGGGAATGATAAACACATTGAGGCAGGTTATAAACAATCTAAGAACATACTCATCACAGACAAATCTAATGTAATGGTTCTATCTCAAAACAGAACATGAGCCGAATGCTGGTGGCTCACACCTATAATCCTAGCTACTCAGGAAGGTGAGATCTAAGGATCATAGTTGAGAGCCAGCCCAGGCAAGAAAGTCTATGAGACTCTTTTTTTTTTTTTATTGGTCGGTGGTGGGGCTTGAACTCTGGGCTTGGGCGCTGTCCTTGTGCTCTTTAGCTCAAGGTGAGCGCTCTACCACTTGAGCCACATCGCCACTTCCAGTTTTCTAGTGGTTTTATTGGAGATAAGAGTCTCACAGACTTTCCTCACAGAAAGGAGTCTCACAGAAAAAATTGGAACATGGTAATTCATGATCTCAGCAATAAGGCAGCAATACTACATGACAAATATGCAGAAAAGTACACTTACATAAATACTGCATCCTTTTCCACAACAACAGCAGGGATCTTATAAGGAAATCCATAGAGTTTCTGAACAATGTATTTATACACTAAGTCTATATTTTTGTTTTCTTTTACTGAAGTGTAAATAAGTGCTGCACCATCTGAATAAAACTGTTAAAGAAAACTTTGGACAAATTCACAAACAGATCTCATAGAACCGCATGCTTTCATTTTAATTTTTACATCTAGATGTTTATAAATAGTTTAGAAAACAAGTTTTCAAGGAATTATTTTTATCAAGAATTTCAAAAGTTTTCTTTGTACAACTACTTAAAGATAATTTAAAAAATAAAATAAAAAGCAAAAAAAAAAAAGAATTTCAAAAGTACAAAATGCTTGCAAAGGCACTAAAGTAAATAATTATATTATTGGATGTAGGAAGAGGTTTTATTAATGCAAAAAACAAGAGTAAACTCTTACCAGACACTGACATGAACTCAGTACATGTGGATGCTGAAGGGGTGACACACAAATCATGCATGAGTTTGCCTATAGAAACAGATTTAAAACATCTCTAAAAGATGTAAGGTACAATATTTTCTATTTAACTTTAAAAGAAGATAAAACCAGTCAGGAAATATGCTATACAGATAGTCTTTCTGGATTAGTATTTGTGTTGGCATCAGGGTTCCTGTAGGTGACTCATCTTGCCTCCCAGCCAAGGGCTTTTCCTAGAGGAATCCTAATTTCTAGGCCTTCCCCCTTTTGCTACTCCCATACCTGTTACAACCCTCTCCCCTCCACACTAGTTTTTAGTCTTGTGGGATTTGGAGTGCTGTCCCACCTATCGTTGGATTCATGTAGATCTCATCAAAGGCACTGCAGCCCTTAATCCAGGCAACCGAGATTAAACACTCTCTGAGACAGGTTTTCCAACCTGTGATCATAAAAAACAACCTAGAAAGAATTTTAGTGTATGCATGAGAATAGAAATGTAGATACTGGCCCCAGAAAGTAGAGGTCCTTATGATCCTCCAAGAAAATGTAAGCTCTAGAGAAATTCATCCCACCAGGTATGGTGATTCACCACTCACTATAATACCAGTGCTGGGGAGGCTGAGGCAGAAGGATTCTGAGTACAAGGCCAGCCTTGGCTACATAGGAGATCCTGTCTTTAAAAAATTAAATTAGCCGGGCGCTGGTGGCTCATGCCTGTAATCCTAGCTACTCAGGAGGCTGAGATCTGAGGATCGCGGTTCAAAGCCAGCCCGGGCAGGAGAGACCATGAGACTCCTATCTCCAATAAACCACCAGAAAACCGGAAGTGGCGCTGTAGCTCAAGTGGTAGAGCGTCGCCTTGAGCTGAAGAGCTGAGGGACAGCGCCCAGGCCCAGAGTTCAAGCCCCACGACCGACAAAAAAAAAAAAAAAAAAATTAAATTAATTTAAATTAAAACCTTGCTTACTACTGGTCTTACCTGCACTGTTAAAACCTGTCCCACAACCACTTTGGAAAGCAGTCTGGAGGTACCTCAGAAAGCTAAATATAGACCTCCCCTATGACCCACCCATACCACTCTTAGGCATCTACTCTGAGCAACAGGAACCAAGATACAAGGACACATGCACCTCCATGTTCACTGCTACACTGTTCAAAACAGCCAAGATATGGAAACAACCAAAACCTGTGGTACCTATATACAATGGAATATTATGCAGCCATTAGAAAGGACAAAATAATGGCATTCACAGGGAACTAGATGGGACTAGAACAAATCATTTTGAGCAAGGTAAGCCAAGAGCAGAAAGACAAATAGTACATGGCCTCCCTGATGTGTGGATATTAAATCCAAAATGGAAGGAAATATGACAAAGTAAACAGGACTCAAGAAACAAAGGACTTCCACTCAATTTGTTGTATCATTTCTAAATGACTTGTTCTTGATCACATATATGATGTGTGTGTGGGGGGGGGGTAGCTGAAGGTAGCTAGGAAGAAGGCACAGAATCAGAGGGAAACAGGGGAAAATATACAACAAAAGGGGTCCATCAGCTGCACTGGACATTGATGAAAACGAACTAAGCAACTCAAGGGCAGCAATGGGAGTGAGGGAATAAGAGGGAAAGAGGGAACAGTTTACACTAAGCAAAAGGAAAGAAATGTACATATCACCCAAAGTTGTATTGTCAAAGCTCACAGAATTCACAAACTTTATAGACCATGATAATAGCTATTTGCCTTGTGAAGGTTAAAATGTGTTTGTGACTTTAACTAAGTATCACTATCCCACAATACAGTGAAATTTGTGAAACTAATGTAATCACTTAATCTCCATTAAAAAATTATTAAAACAAAAAACCAAAAACCTGCCCACCGGGCATGCTGGCTCACACCTGTAATCCTAGCTACTCAGGAGGCTGAGATCTAAGGATCATGGTTTAAAGTCGGCCTGGGCAGGAAAGTCTGTGAGACTTTTTTTTTGGTCGGTCGTGGGGCTTGAACTCTGGGCTTAGACCCTGTCCCTCAGCTCTTCAGCTCAAGGCGAGTGCTCTACCACTTGAGCCACAGCACCACTTCCGGTTTTCTGGTGGAGATAGGAGTCTCATGGTCTTTCCTGCCAGGGCTGGCTTTGAACCATGATCCTCAGATCTCAGCCTCCGGAGTAGCTAGGATTACAGGTATGAGCCACTAGTGCCAGGCTGGTCTGTGAGACTCTTATCTCTAACCACCAGAAAACTGGAAGTAGCTCTGTGGTTCAAGTAGTAGAGCGCTCACCTTGAGGTGAAGAGCACAGGGACAGTGCCTAGGCCCAAGGTTCAAGCCCCATGACCAACAACAACAAAAAATAACCCATCCCATATGGGCCCATTAACTCATTCTTCCCCATTTTGTGTCCCATCAAAGTCCTTAACTCCTTCAGCCTCTCCCACTCACAAAGATTTCAAACAGGAACATCTCCTCTAGTTCCCTTAAGTATTTGATAAAGCAGTGAACAGTAAAACCTTACTTTCCAGATACAAATGAACTAGGCGCTAAAATGAATTTTCAACTAGGAACAGAAGCAATCCTGTGCACAAAATTTATATAGATCACTACAATTCCTTTATTTTAAAAAACAAACCAGATTGGAACAAAAATAAATGCATTAAAAGGATACACTGTAAACAAAATTTCCGGATATGTGACTGGATAAAATCAAAATGTTCATCTCTGTAGTCATGTTCTTTCTCCAAAATACTAATGGCATCACACTGTTGAGTTAAAAAAATTAAAAATACTGTTACAGTACCTTAAAATAACTAACATTAAATACAATAATTTAAACAGTTCAATTTTAAATGGAAAATGTCACAAAGCTGTTATGATGATCGAGCAGAAAAACCTGGAACATCAACTGACACTTCTGGTTGAAAAACAAGTCTTTCAAGAATTTGAACTCAGGCAGCCATTCTAGCACTAAGCCACACCTCCAGCCCCCAAACTTAGGTCAAATAACTTAGTTGCTACTCAACTAAGTACATTCTAAAAAGTGTTTTTAAGTCTAGACTCTAGTCCAGTTTTGTAAAACACACCAGCATATCCTGTGCCCCCTTACCATCCTCTCTGCTGCTATTTGGATCCTTACCACCTAGTTCTTTCCTGCAACTTCTCTCGCTCTCACTAGTCCCCCTGTATCAAAATATAACTGTATCTGAAATGCCACCTGTGCAGTTAATGAGATAGTTAAAGAAAATAAGTCACATTCAAGCATCATGATATCCAAATAATTTCACCAAACTTTTTTTTTTTTTTGCCAGTCCTGGAGCTTGACCTCAGGGCCTAGGCACTATCCCTGAGCTTCTTTTCTTCAAAGCTAGCACTCTACCACTTGAGCCGCAGCGCCACTTCTGGCATTTTTTGTTTATGTGGTACTGAGGAATTAAACCCAGGGCTTCAGTCATGCTAGGCAAGCACTCTACCACTGAGCCACATTCCCAGCTCTCTCACCAAATTTTTTTAAATCGAAGGTGTGAAACATGAAATATCCTGAGGGATGCTCATTGTACCTAGGATTAGTTTGGGGTCACAGTCCTTGGGTAATTTTTTTTTTTTAATCAGTGGTAGGACTTGAACTCTGGACTCGGGTGTTGTTCCTGTGTTTTTCAGTTTAAGGCAAGCTCTCTACCACTTGATCCACAGCGCCTCTTCCAGTTTTCTGGTGGTTAATTGGAGATACGAGTCTCACAAACTTTCTTGCCCAGACTGGCTTTGAACCACGTTCCTCAGATCTCAGCCTCCTGAGTAGCTAGGATTACAGGCGTGAGCCACAGGCACCTGGCATGGGTAACTTTTATGTCTTTTTTTTGGGGGGGCAGTCCTGGGGCTTGAACTCAGGGCCTGGGCACTGTTCCTGAGCCTCTTTTGCTCAAAGCTAGCACTCTACCACCTGAACCACTTCTGGTTTTTTCTGTGTACGTTGTGCTGAGCAATTGAACCCAGGGCCTCATGCATGCAAGGCAAGCGCTCTACCTCTGAGCTACCTTCCCAGCTCTTGTTATAGTCTTTTGTTATAGTCTTCCAGTGATCCTGTGGGCTGAACTCAGGGCCTCACAGCAAGTCCTCTACCAGTTATACCACACACCAGTCCTAAAATAGGCTTCTCATTAAAATATATTCATATTATGGTCTTGTTCTCTATGAAATATGAAGAGTTGGAGAGTTTTACAGAAGAATATCAGTAGCTGTTCAAGGAGGAGGCAGATAGACCCAAGCTCTGAGCTATTGTTACTTTAATAATATGCTTTTTTCTACCCAGAGTCAGAATTATCATGAAGCAAATGAAATCTAAGCTCCAGGGCTTCCAACTTGAACGAACCTCTCTCAAGACCCTGGAAGAAGCCTTAGCCATGTGTTCATGTAGTCATATGTTTTTGCAAATTTGCTTAAGTAAAATAATGCAACTTCAATCAGTTAAGACAACTATTTCAGCTGAGATTTCTCTGTCATACTTCCTCTAGTTTTGTATGTTTTAGAAAGTTCTTATTCTGTCCATGTTTTCTCCATAGGCAAGCCTTTTAGCATACTTTGACTTCTATTCAAACTTTTTTTCTCCTCTTTATTGTTACTATTACAGGTCTTCAATCCCTTATGTGTAATTCCAAAATTCAAAACAAGCTATAAATGTTTCTTTTCAGTATTTTTTTTGCAGCAAAACCCAATTTGATCAGCGCTCATTTAATGGGACAACCTGACCTGAATTGACATGAGATTATTAAAGATTCTGTTTACACACACAAAATAGGCTTTTCTCATGATGTCATGACAAATACTGCTTTGCACATTTTATAGAATACTAAGAGTGTTTTTAATTATTAATAATTAACTACTGTACTGTTGAAACTTTGTAAAGCATGGCTGTTTAGTAATTATATTTTAACCTAATATGTGCAAGGCCCTGGACTTGTCAGTTTCCTTCACCCTCTCAACATCCCAACCTTTCAAAAGAAAAGTTGGCTGAAATCATAGGATCTGTACCTAAAGCAAGAAACTTAAGTCTGTATGAATTTCCATTTCCAGTCATAAACTGATGGGGAGTTATTCACCACATTTTATCTATTAGGAAACACATATTCTCTTGTCCCTAGACACAAGCTTATAAACTGATGTATATCTATTGGTCTTCTACTTTTTTTTGGGGTGGGGTACGGTCGTGGGCCTGAACTCTGGGCCTGGGCGCTGTCCCTCAGTCTTCAGCTCAAGGCTAGTGCTCTACCACTTGAGCCACAGCGCCACTTCTGGCTTTTTTTTCTGCTTATGTGGTGCTGGGAAACGAACCCAGGGCCTCATGCATGCAAGGCAAGCACTCTACCACTGAGCCACCTTCCCAGCCCCTCTATTGGTCTTCTTAAGACTTTATGAAATACAGTGGATGAGATCTTCTGGCTTGAACATTTTATGAGTTTTATGACCGATTTCCTTTAAAATTTACATTTTTCTTTTTGAAAATAGGACTGCTTTTTATAAAATAAACTGCGGTCTAAAACACAGAAATATCTGTCAATAAATAGCTCTTTGCCCAAAAAACAAACCACACACAAGGAGTCAGTGAGAGTTTAAAATATTGGCATAAGAAAAAGGTACCACAGGGGCTGGGAAGGTAGTTCAGTGGTAGAGTGCTTGCCTTGCATACATGAGGCCCTGGGTTCGATTCCTTAGCACCACATAAGCAGAAAAAGCCAGAAGTGGGGCTGAGGCTCAAGTAGTAGAGTGCTAGCCTTCAGCTGAAGAGCTGAGAGACAGGACCCAGGCCCAGGCCCAAGCCCCACACCGACCAAAAAAAAAGAAAAGAAAAGGTATCACAATGGACTGCATCAGTCACCATTTGAAAAATAGGCAATGTTATGCCACCACATTCTTTTGTTACTGATAATTTTTTTATAGAATTCAGAGTAAAATTTAAGTCTGGTTTTAAACATTTTGTCATTTTAAGCACAAAGTGGAAAAAAATTGTATCCTTGTTTAATTATATATAAACCTATCTAATACAATAAATATTAATAATTTTATCTCAATAGAATGTATGGTAGGAGGCAAGTCTCAAGTGTTAAAGAACCTGCCTTGCAAGCCCAAGGCTCTGAATTAAAATTCTATACTGTCAAAAAAAAAAATTAGGGCTGGGAATGTAACTTAGTGGTAGAGTGCTTGCCTAGCATGACTGAAGCCCTGGGTTCAATTCCTCAGTACCGGGCTGGGAAGGTAGTTCAGTGGTAGAGTGCTTGCCTTGCATGCCTGAGCGCTCAAGTGGTAGAGCGCTAGCCTTGAGCTGAAGAGCTGAGAGACAGCGCCCAGGCCCAGAGTTCAGGCCCCACGACCGGACCCAAAATTAAAAAAAAATCAAAGAAAGAAAAGAAAAGCTGACATTCTACATTACCTTTGGGGCTGGGGAGTTGGCTCAGTGGTAGAGCACTTGCCTTGCATGCCTGAGGCCCTGGGTTTGATTCCTCAGCACCACATAAGAAAAAACCCGGAAATGGTGCTGTGGCCAAGTGGTAGAGCGCTAGCCTTGAGCTGAAGAGCTGAGGGACAGCGCCCAGGCCCAGAGTTCAGGCCCCACGACCGGACCCAAAAAAAAACAAAAAACAAAAACAAAAACAAAAATTCCTCAGTACCACATAGACAGAAAATACCTCAAGTAGAAGAGTGCTAGCCTTGAGCAAAGAAGCTCAGGGACAGTGCCCAGGCCCTGAGGTTAAGCCCCAGGACTAGCAAAAGTAAAAATAAATAAAAAATAAAATCAGGGCTGGGAAGGTGGCTCAGTGGTAGAGCGCTTGCCTTGCATGCATGAGGCCCTAGGTTCGATTCCTCAGCACCAAATAAAGCAAAAAGAAAAAAACCGGAAGTGGCGCTGTGGCTCAAGTGGTAGAGCGCTAGCCTTGAGCTGAAGAGCTGAGGGACAGCGCCCAGGACCAAAGTTCACGACCGGACCCAAAAAATAAAGTAAATAAATTAATTAAATAAAATAAAATCAGGGAGCTGGGTGCCAGTGGCTCACACCTGTAATCCTAGCTACTCAGAAGGCTGAGATCTGAGAATCACAATTCAGAGCCAGCCCGGGCAGTAAAGTCTATGAGACTTTATTTCCAAAAAACCACTAGAAAACTGGAAGTGGCATTGTGGCTCAAGCGGTAGAACACTTGCCTTGAGCTGAAGAGTGCAGAGACAGCACCCAAGCCCAGAGTTCAAGCCCCATAATTGACAATCAACCAATCAATCAATCAAATCAGGGGCCAGTGGCTCATACCTATAAGCCTAGCTACTCTGGAGGCTGAGATCTGAGGATCACAGTTCAAAGCCAGCCAAGGCAGGAAAGTCTAGGAGATTCTTATCTCCAATTAACCCCCAGAAAACAGGAAGTAGAACTGTCGTAGAGCACTATCCTTGAACAAAAGCTCAGGGACAGGGCCCAGGTCCTGAGTTCAAGATCCACTACCAACATAAATAAAATAATGGCTGGGGACATGGTCCTGACTTTTCCCAGTATAAAAAATAAAAAATTTAAAAAGCGTTTGTATTCTGGTATTTTCTTAAGTATCCCATGGTTTATTCCTAGTAATTACAGGCAGGTGCCAGTGCCTATAACCCTAGCTACGTGGGTGGCTGAGATCTGAAGGAGCTGTTTGAGGACAGGCAGAAAAGTTTGGTAGACTTCATCTCCAAGTAACCAACAAAAGCAGGGCTGAGAATTGAGAGGTATGGCTCATGTGATAAGACTGCCAGCCTTGAGCAAAAAAAACAAGCAAGAACACAGGTCCTGAATTAAAGCCCCAGTACAGTATGGTTCAAGTAGTAAATACCAACCTTAAGTGTGTGTGGGGGGGGGGGGGGGGGGGGAAGAAGCAGGGTGCCAATTACAGCACCGGCTTCACATACACAAATAAACAACAAAACAAAAACATAGTGCTTGAGACCAACTGGGAAGATGAACTTGTTATATGATTTTTTTTAATGCAGTGCCTCACACTTCTTAGGCAGGTACTCTCCTGCTGAACTATTCCTCTAGCTCCACTTCTTCCTTTCATTGCACTGCTTATTTTCCTACTTGGGCATGTACTTGAACTGCAATTTTATTTTTCTCTCTCACTAATCATATCTACCTTTTTTAGTTGAGACAGTCTTTTAGACTTTTCTGCCTGGGTTAGCAGGGAACTGCTATCCCACATAGCTAGGATGTCAGGTGCACTTTACCACCTCCAGCTATTAGTTCAGAAATGGTCTCTTGTGTACAAATGGGCTAGCCTTGAACCAGTTCTCCAAATCTCAACATCCCAAGTAGACAGGATTATAGATGTGAGCTATCAGTATCCAGCTCTGTGAATTTTTATTTCTTGTGCTGGTCCTAGGGCTTGAATTCAGGACCTCGGTGCTGTCCCTGAGCTTTTGTGGTGAAGACTAGTGGTCTATCATCTAAGCAAGAGCTCCACTTCTGACTTTTTTGGGGGGTACTTAACTGAAGCTAACAGTCTAAAGGACATTCCTAGCCAGGTTGGCTTCAAATCAAGATCTTAAAGATCTCATCCTTAGTTAGGATTACAGGCATGAGCCAACTGCACTCAGACTCTGAATTATTTTTAAAGAAAATGTGATTTTACTACAAAATATACACAGAGTAACAACTAAGCCTTTTTTTTTTAAAGACAGGATCTTGCTAGATAGCTCAGACTGGCTTCAAACTGGAGAACCTCTGGCCTCTGCCTCCTACATTCTGTACTTATAGAGGAATGTATCACCATACCCAGAATTTTGATAATAGTGATCCAATCAGCATCTTTCAATAAACAAATCCTTAATAAATACTTATCACTTCGTTTTGTAACCAGCAAAAAGCAGAACTGGAAACATGTTTAAGGTGGCAGAACATCAGCCAACTGAACAAGCAAGAAGGAGACCAAGCACAAGATCCTAAGTTCAGAACACAGTATCACAAAAAAAAAAGTCTATTTTAATTTGGAAATGTAACTCAGTGGTGGTACACTTACCTAGCATAGCATGCAAGAGTCCTGGGTTGGGTTCTGCACTACAGAAAAACAAAACAGTGCTCATACCTGTTATCCTAGTTACTTTGGAGATTGGCTGACAACAGTTTAAGACTAGTCTGGGCAGAAAAGATTGAGAAGATTCACTGCTGGGCACACTTGTCATCCTAAACTACACAGTATGGTAAGATTGGGAGGATCTTGGTTCCAAGCCAGTCTGGACAGAAAAAGATCCACAGACTCCATCGTAAGGGAGAGAAATTGGATGCTTGTCATTCTAGTAAAAAAAGGAAGCCTAAAATAGACAAATGAAGGTTAAAGTATGCTCAATCAGAAAGTGAGACTCTATCTCAAAAGTAACTAATGGAAAACAGGGTTGAAGATATGGCTCAGCTATGAAACTCCTACCTAACAAATCAGGGGTCCTAGATTTCATTTTAAGTACATAATTTTTTGATACTAGAAAAATGTATTAATATATTAAAATGTAATGTTGAAAGGTATTGTATATAAATTATCATTTTATCTATTTTTACTAAAAATGATTACACAATGAAGTTTATTAGCTACATTACAAAAATGAAATTCAGGCACAGAGTATTCAAAATAACATTCTGTTTCAAAGAAATTAGGATTCATACCACAATAGCTTTGTCAAGTATAGTGGTGAATACCTGTAATCTAACCACTTAGGCTGAGGCAGAGGGGCCAGCCAGGGCTACAGAGTGAGACCCTGTCCAAAAATAATTTTTTCACAAAAAGCTGCCAGCCAAGCAGGTGCCAGTGGCTCACACCTGTAATCCTAGCTACTCAGGAGGCGGAGATCTGAGGATCATGGTTCCAAGCCAGTCCTGGCAAGAAAGTCCGTGAGAATCCTATCTCCAATAAACCACTAGAAAATCAGAAGTGGGGCTGTGGCTCAAGCAGTAAAGAGCTCACCTTGAGCTGAAGAGTGCAGGGACAGTGCCCAAGCCCAGAGTTCAAGCCCCACAACGGACCAAAAAAAAAAAAAAGCTGCCAGTCAAGACTGAGAAGCTTCGTCCTCTCTTCAAAAAGAAATCTTCTAAACAAGTAGGAAGTCAGACAACAGAAACAATCCAGTAATCACCATAAAGATAGAGTAGGATAACAACAGGCTGTACTTACAACATTCAGATACATGCAGCCTGATGTAGAAATGATTGGACTCTGGCAAAATTCAAAAGGTCACTAATAGGCTGGAGGTACCAGCTGAAGCATATAATACTGTGGTTTGGATAAGTGACACCAGGGCAGCTCAAGGACTCTGAACTCATGTTCTTTCTCTAAACACTGATATCTGCTGCATCCAGATTAGCTAGGGTATTACGGTGATCAGACCTGAAAGATATACCCTGCAAGAGCTCGCCTCTAAACTTACCGGGTATAGACAGAAGCAACTTAGGACAGTATTTCTATAGGTAAAATAAACAACTATGAAGGACAAGGTGGAAAAAAATCACAAAGTAACACTGAGCATCATTCCATATTATCTATGATTTTTTAAAAATTAAAAACAATTATCATCCTAGCACTTGGGGAGGCTGAGGCAGGAGATGGTAAGTTCAAGCCTTGCATAAGCTATTCACCAAGATCCTGTCTAAAAAATGAGAAAAACAAACAAACACGTTATCTAAGAAAACTAATGTAACTCCAACAAAAACCCCATAAAAACAAAAATCTGTTTATCCTTGATGAGTATTTCCAAGAAACAAACTAACCTTGGTGCAAACTACCAGTACTGGAATGCCCAGGTTATGTGTAAGGGTGTCCGCACCCAGAGGTAAAACAATACTGTCGTCTCTGTCCTCCTGTGCTGCAGTGTTTCTTCTCTGAGGAGAAGCTGGAAAGTCTTCTCCTGGCTCTACGTATTCTTGAAAGTCTCTAATCACTGAAAATCAAAGTAAACAGATTTAGAAATTGTTTTATTTCAGCAAGTAGCCATAATCTAAATATATGTATCACCGGAATTTATGCTTAGGCTTAAGTAAGAGAAGAAACAATTTTTGAGAAACATTTCAAGGGAGTTTATGAGCAGCAGACATACATTAGTAACACTTAGGCTCAATACTGTACTGACAGCTTCAAAGAGTAGGTTTCTATGTAGTGCCAGTTTAAGCTGTGGGAATGACTTTGGGCAAGGTACGCTGTGGCTCTGACCCTCTACTGTCTATGAAGGAAAGGCACTGCAAGGACAGAAGAAAAAAGATCCCACCATGTAAAACATAGTGCTACTTTCTAATATTAGCTTCCTTTCCCTAAGTCTTTGATTACCTAGATTCAATCTTGGAGCCATATTTATTTATTTATTTATTTATTTATTTTTTTGCCGGTCATGGGGCCTGAACTCTGGGCCTGGGCGCTGTCCCTCAGCTCTTCAGCTCAAGGCTAGTGAGCCACAGCGCCACTTCCAGCTTTTTCTGCTTATGTGGTGCTGAGGAATCGAACCCAGGGCCTCATGCATGCAAGGCAAGCACTCTACCACTGAGCCACTTTCCCAGCCCCCCATATTTATTGTTTAACACTGGTAAAAGTTATAAAAGACATTACCAATGCAAAACTCTCTTTTTTTTTTGGTTGATAGTGGGGCTTGAACTCTAGGCCCAGGCACTATCCCTCAGCTCTTCAGCTCAAGGCTAGCACTCTACCACTTGAGCCACAGTGCCACTTCTGGTTTTCTGGTGTTTTATTGGAGATAAGAGTCTCATAGAGCTGGGAAGGTGGCTCAGTGGTAGAGCACTTGCCTTGCATACATGAAGCTCTGGATTCGATTCCTTAACACCACATAAACAAAAAGAAAAAAGCCAGAAGTGGTGCTGTGGCTCAAGTGGTAGAGTGCTAGCCTTGAGCTGAAGAGCTGAGGGACAGTACCCAGGCCCAGAGTTCAGGCCCCACGACCCGACCAAAAAAAAGAAAAAAGAAAAAAGTCTCATAGACTATGCTGCCTAAACTGGCTTTGAATGGTGATCCTCAGATCTCAGCTTCCTGAGTAGCTAGGATTACAGACATGAGCCACCAGCATCTGGTACTAATGATGATAAACTTTTACAAGTCACTAGTGACTTGTCAAAATCATCATTTGAAAAAAAGTAGGTATATCTCGAGCTTTAATAGTGTGTACTAGGAGTAATTACCTTTCCAAGAATTCTCAAGGACACAATCAGAAATGTACAGACATGAGAATTTCTGAACAAGTTTTTCACATTTAAGAGCGAACTAACAACAAATCAGGAAACAACTTATCCATGGCATAGAACTAAAATAGAGTATGAGGAAATGTTATATAGATATAAATTCAAAATTTACAAAGAATACTTAATAGGAAAATATTAATATTGAAAGAGAAAGTAGGGAGAGGGAGTAGGGGGGGAGGGAGAGAAGGAGGGAGAGAGAGAATAGGAAAGATATACCAAAGAAAATTTTATGTATATTAATGTATATATGTTTCCTACTACAAAATTGGGGAGAAAAGTACTTAAAAAAGTAATTATAGGGGGCTGGGAAGATGGCTCAGTGGTAGAGCGCTTGCCTTGCATGCATGAGGCCCTGGGTTTGATTCCTCAGCACCACATAAGCAAAAAGAAAAAAGCCGGAAGTGGCGCTGTTGCTCAAGTGGTAGAGCGCTAGCCTTGAGCTGAAGAGCTGAGGGACAGCGCCCAGGCCCAGAGTTCAGGCCCCACAACCGGAAAAAAAAAACAAAAACGTAATTATAGGCCAGATCCTTTTTGGCTTATAAATCCTGACTGGCTTGTAAAGAAAAATTTGTGAATTTATATTCGGTGGAAGAAGAAGGAGTTGTAGGTAGCTGAGTATGAATTTTCCAGAACACAGGCACATGTATGCACCATTACCAGCTCTAGTGGCTACCTTTAATGAAGGTCAGAGTTTGAAATCTAACAGTGGTAGGAGGGAATGGGTGACACTGGTTCCAAAAAGAAATGTACTCATTACCTGACATGTAACTGTATTCCCTCTGAACATCACCTTTATAATAACAATTAAAAATTAAAGAAAAATCTAACAGTGACTCTCAGATTTTAGTATGTACCAGAAACATCCAACAAATTTATTAAGTCTTATTACTAACTATACCTTCAGGAGCTGTTTTTTGGTGTTTTTGTTGTTGTTGTTATTCTCTTTTCTTTTCTGTTTGGTGACAATGGAACTTTAATGCAGGATGATGTTCTGTTCTCACTCAGCTTTTAAGCTCATGGCTGGCATTCTACCATTTGAGCCATGTCTCTACCTCTATATTTTTATTGTTAATTGAAGGTAAGAATTTCTTGGATTTGTCTGCCGGGCTGGCTTTGAAACTCAATTCTCAGATCTCAGCCTTCTGAGTAGCTAAAATGTAGGCGTGAGCTACTCACTGGTGTCCAGCCCAACAGAGTCTCAAATCTTGCCAGGCATGACTGAGCTGTGTTTATTTTAGGCTTTCACTCATTGCTTGAGCAGAAAAGCTCGGGCTACAGTGTCTACCTTTCCTCTGCTAAGATGGAGTTTCATGAACTTTTGTCCAGACTTGCCTGGAACTGCAATCCTCTTAATCTCAGGCTTTCACATAGTTACAACAACAAATGCCTGCTACTGCACTGAGCTATGAATTGAGAAAGGGGTCTGGCAAGCTTTTCTGCCTAGGCTGGACTAGAACCACAATCTTCTACGAACCACCAGTGTCTGGCTTCCTCTATTTACTACCTCCAAACAGGAATTGCTATATAGTCCTGGAATTTACTATCCTCTTGCCTTAGATTCCAGAGGGCTGGGATTACAGATCTGTACCACCACCCTGATTGAGAGTTTTCAACTAAGTAGTTTGGAGTGTGTTTCTGACACATTCACATGCAGGTACAGAGGTCATAAACCACTGTTCTAGTATAACCCTGGGTTCAGAAGCACTGGGGAAACAAAACAATAACTCCAGCCGGGCACCAGTGGCTCATGCCTGTAATCCTAGCTACTCAAGAAGCTGAGATCTGAGGATCATGGTTCAAAGCCAGCCTGGGCAGGAAAGTCCATGGGACTCTTATCCCAATTAACCACCAGAAAACTGGAAGTGGTGCTGTGGCTCAAGTGGTGGAGTGCTAGCCTTGAGCTGAACATCTCAGGGACAGTGCCCAGGCCCAGAGTTCAAGCCCCACGACTGGCCAAAAAAAAAGAAAGCCAAAGCCATGGTCACCAAAGAAGGAAAACTACAGATTGAAAGTGTTTAGAAATAACTGGGCATAATCTCAGCACTCAGGTTGCTGAGGTCAGCCTGAGCTGCAGAATAAAGTTGTGTCTCAAAAAAATTTTTTTTCCGCTGGGAAAGTGGCTCAGTGGTAGAGCGCTTGCCTTGCATGTCTGAGGCCCTGGGTTCGATTCCCCAGCACCACATAAGCAAAAAGAAAAAAAGCCGGAAGTGGCGCTGTGGCTCAAGTGGTACAGTGCTAGCCTTGAGCCTTGAGCTGAGGGACAGCAGCCAGGCCCAGAGTTCAGGCCCCACAACCGGACCAAAAAAAAAAAAATTTTTTTTTTCCAATTTCCAATGGCTTAGAACATAAACTTGTAAGTTTTAACTGTTTCCTTATGTAAAAATCCTAGCTAACAGTGACAAAGCCTTTAAGTATTTTCTTATACAAAGTAAAACTCTGGAAGGTGAAGAAGCTCTCAGTGAAGTTTAAAATGTCATTGATTTACAATCTGTTAGAAATGACCCCGTAATCATTTTCTTAAGTTCCATGCAAATGTCTAATTCACTTGAGCAAGTACAAATAACAGGTAGTGGTAGGTGCAGTGGCACATGCTTGTAATCCCAAGCACTTAAAGGGTAGAGCCAGAAAGAATGCCAAGTTCAAGGATAGCCTGGGGTACAAAGTAAGACTGTCTCAAAAGGAAACATATGTAAACACATACACACTGTACTTATAAATAGTAAACTCAGCATAGCTTCTTTTTATCTATGTAACATTTTTAGGCCTATTTTATTTGGACAAAGTTGATAAGATTACCAACCAAGAAACTGCTGAAAACAAGCAACTGAAAAAGATGAATAATTTTCTGACCCTTAAAATCTGTTTTTCAAAATGAACACATACAGCTTTTTGGCAAAAGACAGTGCCTGTATTAAAGAGTTTACATATGTTTCCAACTTAAATTTATATTAAAACCTAGAACATCACTCAAACTAAATTCCAAAATAGTAGTCACATTAGGTTACCTTCATTAAAACTTATTCATAGTAAGCAGTTCTAAGTGATTCTTAGTCAGCTAAGGTATTTGTATCTGATATCTACATTAGTATGTCTACTCACACTTTTGTTCCATTTCTTTCATCTCTTCAGGAGGAATTTTCAACTTGTCAACATGTTCCCTCACAACACTTGCCCATTTTTGTAAAGAATCCAAAGCAGTCCACGGCTTTGACATATCAACGACCAGCATAACCAGAGTGTCCTTTAGAGAAATGGCATCCAGTGAAAATTTAAGGAGCCCTTTGTGATATAGGTCTCCATCTAAGATCCATACATTACATCTCGTTTGATCTACAACAGACAAAAGAAATCCACCAAGGCAACAGTATTAAGTCATTTCATCATCCCACTAACTCCGTATATTTTATTAGAGCCTCTCTATAGGAGGTGTCTGCTGGTTTTGATAGAGTTCAACTATTTAGGGTCACAACTACCAGTTTAGTAGAGGCCTAAAATGATTTTGTGTCCAAGCAAAGAACAAAATAATCTCTAGTTCATTTTTTTTTTGGGGGGGTCCGGTCATGGTGCCTGAACTCTGGGCCTGGCGCTGTCCCTCAGCTCTTCAGCTCAAGGCTAGCACTCTACCACTTGAGCCACAGCGCCACTTCCGGCTTTTTTCCCCCCTGCTTATGTGGTGCTGAGGAATCGAACCCAGGGCCTCAGGCATACAAGGCAAGCGTTCTACCACTGAGTCACCTTCCCAGCCCTAGTTCATACTTCTTGATCCAAAGACAAGATAATTAAATAACATGATTTTCCTTCTTTCTTTTTTTGCCATCAGCAGACCGAACCATGCATACTCAAGAAGGCTAGTGTTCTACAGAAGAAAAACTGGCTGAAAACAGCTGGGGAACAGATTATATTACTACTAAAAAGGTAAAGTGGTACTTAGGAAAACAATGACTACCTGAAGGAGAATGTCTTTAAAAACTGAAATTCTTTAAGGATGTTAAGTAGACTAATAAAAGCACACCAGAATTCCCTAAAGTGCTTTGAAATATCACTATATAAATGCCAATACAAGTATACCTAAACAATTATATATTTACCTTCAAGACATGGAAGAGCTCTTAATATTGACACACTAAGAAAGCCAGAGATGAGCAGCTGAGCCCTTCATAACAAACTTCATGAAACTTATAATACAAATAAGTGACTTACCATCCCTATCTTCATCGTGCACATTTAAGTATAAATATTCCAATCCTCTTCCTTTCTTATATTCCTCAATTCCCTGAATTTTTCTTATTAAGCTTGTTTTTCCAGCTCCATCTTCACCTAGATACATTAAAAAAATAGATAATTATTTTTCTCATATGGATTTAACAGAGCTTTCTGGCACTGTATGAACAGCTCAGCTGGAACTAGCTTCAACAAAAAAGGTAATTTGAGTAGAGATAACAAGAGAGCTGCAAAACTGATGCTATAGACGCCGTTGCCATTCAGATTTTCCCAGTGCCACGGCTCCTCTTGCTAGTCCTGCTCTGTACAATGGGGAGATAAAAAACATCACAGCTGTAGTAAGTGGCATAGTGTGTCATCTCAGACTGAGGAGCGGCACAAGTGATAGAGTACCAGCTGAACAAACAAGCTGAGCAAGCGCAGGGCCCTATGTTTAAGACGCACTTTTGGTTTTCAGTCTGGAGAATCTAAAATAAAGACCTGTTTTGTTTTTCTGAGACAGGACTATGTAGCTCTGTCTGTTCTTGAACTCATGATCCTGCATCAGCCTCCTTAGTGCTGGAATGACACAAGCATGCTACGATGCTCATCTTGGTTGAGATCTTTTGGGGGATGGGAGGGAAGGGGGCAGTCCTGGGTCTTGAGCTCAGGGCCTGGACATTGTCCCTGAGCTGCTTTTGCTCAAGGCTAGCCCTCTACCACCTAAGCCACAGCACCACTTCCAGCTTTTTCTGTTTATGTGGTACTGAGGAATAGAACCCAGGGCTTCATGCATGGTAGGCAAGCACTCTACCACTAAGCCACATTCCCAGCCCAGTTGACACCCTTAAATGGTACGTACATCAAGACTGATCAGATCGGGGAACTATGACACTCACCAAAACTGTCAAGCCAGGGGCTGGGAAGGTGGCTCAGTGGTAGAGCACTTGCCTTGCATGCTCGAGGCCCTGGGTTCGATTCCTCAGCACCACATAAGCAAAAAAAGAAAAAAGCCGGAACTGGCGCTGTGGCTCAAGTGGTAGAGCGCTAGCCTTGAGCTGAAGAGCTGAGGGACAGCGCCCAGGCTCAGAGTTCAGGCCCCACAACCGAAACCAAAAAAAAAAAAAAACAACAACTGTTAAGCCACAAGAAATATATAGCAGAGAAGAGAAGGAAAGTCAGGGATAGGTGAATTGCACAAGAAGAGGGAAAAACTGGGAGAGAGCAAAGGAAGGGGTGACACTGCCTCAAGTGAAATGTACTTATGTAACTGTAAACACTTTGTTTTTAGCATTTTCAAATAAAAATAATTTTAAAAAAGGAAAGGAAGAAATATAGAACCAACTACAAAAATGAGTTATGTAAAAATATATTCATGACACTCAGGATTTATCTTATTTCTTTAATTTCCACTTTTTTATTTTTTCCTGAGATTAGTATCCTACTATGAAGGCCAAGATGGCTGCTAAGGGATCCTTCAGCGTCAGATTACAAGATGTTTCTCACTTTAATGTTAGAAAATAAAAAGGTACTATACCTTGACTACACCATCCCACAATTTATACACGGTTCAAAATATGTTGTACAAAATATATGTAATTTATTTTTGGATTTGAAAAAAAGTTAAAAAAATTTTTTGTAGAAGCTAAGAAATTCAATTGAGTTTATTTCTACTTGTTTAATATTTCAAATGGCTTAAATGTGAACACTTCCTAATAAATATATGTACTTGAAAAAGGTATACACTTATATTTATCTACTATATTTTATATAAAATATACATTTATATATTTAAATATATTTTAGCCATAAGTTTCTCAAATTTAAGCAAAAGAACTAAAGATATAATATCACCTAGAAATAACCACTGAGAATTATTTCTGACAGTTTGTGTGATTTTATTTTATTTTTGGGGGGAGGTAGGTTATAGGGATTGAACTCTGGGCTTGGGCACTATACCATCGCTGTGTTCTTCAGCTCAATGCTAGCGCTCTACTACTTGAGCCACAGCGCTACTTCCAGTTTTCTGGTGGTTAATTGGAGATAAGAGTCTCAAGGATGTTTCTGCCCAAAGCTGGCTTTGAACTGTGATCCTCAGATCTCAGCCTCCTGAGTAGCTAGGATTACAGGCATGAGCCACCAGTGGCCGGCTATTTGTGTGTTTTGTCTGCTAAGTGATATGACAATTAGCTCTACCATAACAAAACATATTCCTAGCATTCCACAGAGCAGCCACCAACAGATCTTATCTCAATCAATAAAATGTGCTACCAACTCAGTTTCATTAAGTTTCAACTGAGTTTCATAAGTCCTTGAATGAAAAATACAAATGAAGCCGGGCACTGGTGGCTCACGCCTGTAATCCTAGCTACTCAGGAGGCTGAGATCTGAGGATCGCAGTTCAAAGCCAGCCCGGGCAGGAAAGACCGTGAGACTCCTATCTCCAATAAACCTCCAGAAAACCGGAAGTGGCGCTGTAGCTCAAGTGGTAGAGCGCTAGCCTTGAGCTGAAGAGCTGAGGGACAGCGCCCAGGCCCAGAGTTCAAGCCCCACGACCGACAAAAAAAAAAAGAAAAATACAAATGACTTTTTACCTACTTTGTGAGTACTAAAAAACAAAGTCCTAAGAAACTGAAATAGAAAACAATATGGAATTTCCAATGTTAACATCTTTTCAAATAACTCAAGTTGAAGACTATAATTCCCCATCCTTTGTCCATAGTCAATCTCCATCCATCTCCACAAAACAGCACCAGGGGCTGGGAAGGTGGCTCAGTGGTAGAGTGCTTGCCTTGCATGCATGAGGCTCTGGGTTCTATTTCTCAGTACCACATAAATAGAAAAAGCGGGAAGTGGCGCTATGGCTCAAGTGGTAGAGCACTAGCTTTGAGCTGAAGAGCTGAGGGACAGTGCCCAGGCCCAGAGTTCAAGTCCCACGACTGACCAAAAAAAAAAAGAACAGGATCAACAGGGACACTTTCAGAGAGTAACTACCACCTACCATGTGCATCCTCCAGAAGCTCTAACACAGCCACAACGGGAAGGGGATGATTATCTTGTTTGGCAGATAAAAGGCTCAAAACAGTTAAATACCAAAGTATTAAATACCCAAAGTCACACAGGCATGAATGAGTGACAGAGTCAGGATCTGAATTCATATGAATTTAAGCACACTCTTCCTAATAAATAATAGCACTTCTGCCATTAGAAGCTGTTAGTTAACACGATACTGGTTTTTGTATTATGATTCAATGAAGAAAAATGGTATTTCTGCTTCCAATGGTCACTGAGATTTCAAGAGAAGAGAAAGAAAAATGATTAGTTTAACGCATTCTGCTCTTAAGGGCTTTTTTTTTTTTTTTTTGGTCAGTTGTGGGGCCTGAATTCTGGGCCTAGGTGCTGTCCCTCAGCTCTTCAGCTCAAGGCTAGTGCTCTACCATTTGAGCCACAGCACCACTTCTGGCTTTTTCTGCTCATGTGGTGCTAAGGAATCGAACCCAGGGCCTCAAGTGTGCAAGGCAAGCACTCTACCACTAAGCCAACTTCCTAGCCCCTCTTGAGGGCTTCTTTTGAGTGATAAGTACATATGTAAATACTCTCCTGATTCTATTGGGAATAAAGTTTGTTTTTCTATATTGACACCTTCTTCTCCTCTGGAATTCTAAATGATGATAGCTATGCCTGTTTGTACTCACCACTTAGTAGACCCATTTTAAAGTAAACATTACAAAGCAAAATTTGAAAAAGCAAAGAGCATATGAAGTATGGGCAGGGCTGTCAAGTGGTAGAGTGCCTGCAAAGGAAGTGCATGGCCTGAAGTTCAATACCTAGTACTGATTTTAAAAAAAACTGAAAACAAGCGGGACACCAGTAGCTCATGCCTGTAATCGTAGCTATAGGAGGCTAAGATCTGAGTATCTCAGTTCAAAGCCAGCCCAAGCAGGAACGTCTGTGAGTCTCTTATCTCCAATAAACCACCAGAAAACCAGAAGTGGTGCCGTGGATCAAGTGGCAGAGTGGTAGCCTTGAGCTGAAGAGCTCAGGAACAGTGCCCAGGCCCAGAGCTCAAGCCCCATGACCGTCCAAAAAAAACCCCTGAAAACAAGAAAGAAAAAAAATAAAAAGCATATGGCCAAATAAATGTAATATGTTAAACATGGAAATTTAAGAATTTTCCCAGGCTGGGAAGGTGGCTCAGTGATAGTGTGCTTGTCTTGCATGCATGAGGCCCTGGGTTCAATTCGTCAGCACTACATAAGCAGAAAAAGCCCGAAGTGGTGCTGTGGCAAGCACTAGCCTTGAGCTGAAGAGCTGAGGGACAGTGCCCAGGCCCAGAGTTCAGGACCTACCACTGACAAAAAAAAAAAAAAAAAAAGAATTTTCCCTAACCAATGATTTTTAAATGTCTGATAACATAAAGATTTTATAACATGGAAGTGGCGCTGCGACTCAAGTGGTAGCATTGAGCTGAAGAGCTCATGGACAGTGCTCAAGCCCAGAGGTCAAGTCCCACGACCAAAAAAAAAAAATAAAAGATTTTATAACAGCATTGAGGGCTATAAGGGATTCCAATGAAATTTCTTCTTACAGATGAGGAAACTGAGGTCAAAACTGTAAGAACAAAGATTGGTACTATGGCAATAATCTAAGCCTCTCAGGAGAATCCTAGTCCATCTCCCTCTAAAGGAATTTAGAGTTCAGGGACAAATGAAATGAGGAAAAAACTGAAGAGTATTTTATCCCCAGGAATATTTTAACCACCTAACACAGGGCTGGGTATAGAGCCCACAAGAAATTTGAAGGAGCACTTTGCTTTACTGAAACAAGATCTTTTTTTTTTCATTTTTATTTTAAAACAAGATCTTTCTAAGAGCAAAAATTTCTACCAAATACTGTGCTCCGCTCTATCATCTGCCAACTTCCATATCCAGAAGTTATGAAAATGGATGTCCATATTTCATACAAGTTTTAAGCCCATTACTTTTCATAACTCTTAAGCTTCATTATGATTATTTTCTACAGCTTCCACCATACACCTAATGCAATCAGAACTGATTTGACAGGGGCTGGGAAGGTGGCTCAGTGGTAGAGCACTTGCCTTGCATGCATGAGGCCCT